GCCAACTTCACAGACACGATCAGATTGAAATTTGACCAGTCGGAGTAAAATAGACTTGAGATTGGTGAACTTTACTCCGATTGGTCAAACTTCAATCTAATCTCAATCTCAATCCGTGGTGTGATACAGGCTTAAAGAAGTAGGCGTTAGACATAGGCTGTAGGATTAAGGTCCCTTTACGCCCGAGTGTCTACAATGGCGTAGAGTAAGGATTATAATGAGCCAATCAGTGTTAACCAATGTTATTACACAAATGTTACCGTTGTTGGTGAATATGGATGTGCGAAGAATTGGATTTGTGTTATTTATATTATTATGGAGTCAGCTCTTGACTCTTCAATAGCGTATTATGCAAACGAAGATATCTATCGGTCGGAGGTGGTGGGTTCGGCCTGTGAACAGGCGCAAACGAGATCAGGGTTTCAACTTTAACCTATTTCGTGAACTGATTATCAGTGGCTGAGAGTAAGGGAGTAGGTCGTACGAAATGGAATTGAACCATTTTGCTTACAGCCTTACTCTACGCCTACTACACCGGAAACACGAGCTTACTCCGACGTCTTACAGCCTTAATCCACTACTCCTACTGCCATTGTAGACCACGCTTAAGACTCGCAAGAATAATCTGCAATCGAGGGGAAAACCGCTGACCAAAATGCCAATGCCCACTAATGCCCGGTGGGCATTACTTTATCTTATCTTATTTTATCTTATTCATCTTGTTTTATCTGATTTTATCTTTATAATGCCCCAGCGAGACCCAATGCCCAAAAAATGCCCTAGTAATGTCCAGTAAACGCAAATCTGTACACCACAATGCCCTCAGCGGTTTCTCCCTCGTCTGCAATTCTATGCGTGCCGTATGTCATAGAATTGCATAGAATGGCATAGTATAGCATAGAATTGCAGATTATACTCTGAGAAGTTGTTACGCAAACAAGTTACGAGTCTTACGATTTTGCTTGGTATTGCAGCACAAACGAGTGACAGTGAACCGAACGCGAGATGGACGAAGGGGTTCTTGTCCGCAAATTATTTCAGCAAATCGAGCATACACGGAGAGAAATTTCTCCTGAAAATATTGCAATCGTGGGACAGCGCGGCATTTCACAGAATTTTATGAAGTTTCTTTTGAAATTTTACCATACATTTCACTCGCAATTGTACTTAGTATTTTACTAGTAAAATGTATGACAAATTTTCAAAAAACTCAGAAGGTTCTTCAAAATGCCACGTTGTCCCACGATCGCGTGGCTTTCAGGATAAATTTTAAGAAAAAAAATTCTCCCCGCGTATTTGAGCTCGTAATACAAGTACGC